TGTTACGCAACTTTGAATATCATAATAATGATTAATGATAAAAATGCCTAACCATAACCCTAACTAAATAGACTTAAACTAAAACTAATAATGACCAAAGATCATAAATATATATTATAGATATAATATAAGTAAATACATTAAAGTTGGAACTACTCCTAATGGAGTTCACGCAAAAGCGACCCTGAAAATATAAGGTAGTATATTAAACTCGCCTTTCAGCAAGAACTTTTCCAACATACAATAATACATAAAAAATGTGGAACTTGTAGAGTAAAGCTCTGCGATAGCAGTCACCTCTAGTCTATATTAGGCACAATCAGCGCTGTGTCTATGAAAAAGCAATACTCACTACTTGACCTATAATCCTTTTCTCAATTCTTCCACACTCTCTTCCCTAACACAACTCTTAATTTTCAAACATCATTTCTTCTGGCAGCTCTACCTAGACGCGTCATCCAGGGTCCTATGTCCCCAGGGATGCGGAACGTACCCTGGTAGGCCGGTATAGCGAACATATCCGGTTTTACTATTTTGAATAAGTTAGGGTTATGGGTTAGGATAGGTTAGGATTAGGATAGGGTTCGGGATTCGGCTTAGGGATTAGGCGTAGCGACTCTCCCTGATTCGTTAGTGGAGTAGGCGATGGTAAACTGTTCGGCATTAGTTAGATAGCGACGCAGGGTAACTTCCGGTATACCGACCGTACCAGGGTATCTGTTTCCCGGAAGTACCCCGTGGATATAGACCTCTCAGGCCCTAACACACACTATAACCCATAAGAGGGGCAGAGCAATGAATGCCACTGCATAGCGCCCCCATAAGCATTTGTAACCTCGTAATATATATATATAGTATTATAAAGACCAAGTATTTATAGTACCGGTATATATATATAAAGACCAAGATAGTACATGGATACCCATGGATACCATAAGATATGGTATAATAAGACCATACCGAGGATGGAGTTAATCAGATAAGATAACACAATATAAGGTTTGCTTTTATAACCTAAAAAAGATTCGTCTTCAAAGTCATATGGACTAGGCTATATCGAACGAAGATGGAGAGAGACAAATTACTACTCCGTTAGACTGATAGGGTCTATGTCTCCCTGGGTACTGCCGGAAACGTAACCTGGTAACTGATATGGTTAGGGTTAGGGTTAGGGAGTATAGGCGTAGGCGACTTACAGACTCGTTTAGTGAGTAGGCGAGTACCGTCCGCGCATATTAGATAGTACCAAGAGTACGTTCGGCAGTACCGAGGGAGACATAGTACCGTAGACAATTACATCAAGGAGACATAGCTTCAAGCTTCAGTTCAGTTCAAGATGGCAGCTTCAGTTTGACATGCAGATCAACACTGTGATTCGAAGTAGAAAATTAAAGCTTCAATTTTTGCCAACTGCTTAAGGAAAGAAGAGAATTTCACATTTCTTTACGTACAATGCTAATCACATGCAACATGAGACACATGCTAAATACCTACACGCTTGGAATAATACCTAGTGTGTTCACGCAAACACCGAGCAAATAAAGAAAATTATGTGAGCATGAATGTAGACAAATTATTGATGTAATTTTTTTAGGGATATGGGGGTCAGAGAGACTCAGTGGCGAGAAGAGCGATCAGCTGTGGCATGGGAAAAAATGAAGGAATAATATAAGACATGGAAGAGCGATGACTAGAGGGGGGTAGAGAGTACGCTTGTGTTGTGACGTATGAACATTTAGATACTGGTGACCCCTAGTGGCAGCACCAGGCGGAGAATTGCCCATGAGCACATACACATGATAACGACACACACACATATGAACCATAATGCATTTAGGCAAATATCCATGAATAATAATTTACTAGATTATAAGCAGAACGTGTAATACCAGCCGACATGAATTTACGTGCACATTGCTAATATAACAGAAACACTAAAAAAAATTGCACATTGCTAATATAACAGAAACATTAAAAAAAACATTTATATGATCTTGATATAATGTAGGCCTATTTATTGAACAAAAAGTTGGTTCGAGTCTTACACAATCTACGGTCTGTACAGACCATACAAACCACCATTCCTTATTACACACATGCCGGATTCCAGAATTCTGTGATTCAGATTGAGAATTAGTGAGACACCGACTACATCTCAGTAATAAATATACAACTGATTATACAAACGATGGCAATTACTGAAATTAGCCTGATTCCATAATATGGGAAAGCCATATCATATTTTTTGCCATGCATCACTTGGAATCTAATTGATATCTTACATTTTGACTATTGAAATCACAATTTAAGTTACAGCCAGGCATTATTGGCTAAGAAGATTCACATATTCAATGATAACTGAATGCACAATTCATTGTTACACCAAGTAAATGTTCATCATTACAGGATCACAACAACATATATGCCGCATGACAATCTAGAAAATGAAAAGTACACACATATGATGGAAATATAGAATTTCTGATTCATACAGACCATCATTGTTTACTATACAGGCTTGATGAAAACAGTGTATAGTGGAATAAACAAACCTAGGATTACAACTTAAATCTATAATAGAACACGTAATATAATACAGAATACTATTACATTAGGACACATATCCAAGGAATGTGTACGCACGTGCGTGCGTGCATGTGTAAGTGTGTGTGCATGCAAGTGCGTGGGTACACACATCTAAAGGATCTATCTATATAGAACTATATAGGATATAATTAATAACACAATCTCCATTATCCATTTTTGATATTAATAGCAATAATACTGCAGCCTATTGGCCACTGTCAATGCCACTACCTCCTCCTCCACTGAAAGTTCCTCCCTGTTCTCCAGTAAACTCTCCAGGACCTCCTTCTCCCCCATGATAACCCACCCCTCCTCCTCCTCCTCCCTGATAACCTCCGCTTCCTCTTTCTGCTCCCCCTCCTCGGCCTCCTCCCCATCCTTCCTGATAACCTCCTCTACCTCCCCCTTGATAACCACCTCCTCCCCCTTGATAACCTCCTCTACCTCCCCCTTGATAACCACCTCCTCCCCCTTGATAACCTCCTCTACCTCCCCCTTGATAACCACCTCCTCCCCCTTGATAACCTCCTCTACCCCCATAACCTCCCCTTCTGCCTCCATAGCTGCCACCTCTTCCTCCTCCATAGCTGCCACCTCTTCCTCCTCCAAAACTGCCTCCTCTTCCTGCGTATCCAGTTCCTCGTGATGGGAACCCTCCATAACCGCCTCCGTCCCCATACCTCGGGCGCTGTGTAGGCGGTGGACCGAAACCACCTTCACCGGTACGGGTCGAGTTCTTCTCACGTTCACTGCAGCAAACAAAAAACGTGTGTAATAATATTATATATAGAAATATCTAAATGAAATTATTCAAGATTTTATAATATCACATAATATCATTAAATCTGATCAACTTATTTCATGAAGAACACATGCACTACCCAAATCAGAACAAGAGGTTAGGGAAATTCGCACTCTAATGCATAATTGGATCATTCACAATCGTCAACTTCTGCCAACTTGTTAAACCACAAACGACCTCTCTCGCATAACTCTACCATGCAACTCCTTTGCAACTGACCTATCTATCTAAGCAAGATAGCCACACACTCTTGGATATTATTTCAAGGCCAGTCCAGTTAGAAAAGTTTGTAAGATTTGTAAAGCTTGCATGCCAAGTTGCCGACTTCGTGGCAAGTTATTGCCAAGCACTCTCTTTTAGAACGTCCCATCGCAACAATGATTGGCTAGGACTGCTTGCCAATCCCGAGAGATGGATAGGTTAATCGCAAGGTTGTCTAGATGTGCCACTCACAACCCGTGCGTCGTGGTTTTACAAGTCCAACCGCTCAATGATAACTCTGCGAGTGAGGTCTCTTTAGAAGCACCACTTACGCCTGCCTGTCTATGCCAAAGTCAGCTGTTTGCAGCTTCGATAAATGCCGCACTACAGTGATGAGCTGTCGGTCAGGGTCAGAGGGCGCCATTATGTAGTCCGGAGAGTTGCACGCCTTAATGATGCAGCCTTCGATGGCCGGCTGCAGAGCGATGATCTTTGCTGCCACCTGATGAGGCATTTTCAATCTAATCCTGAAGTGACAATAAACGCTCTAAAACAAGTTGGTATCACCACAACAAAATCACCACAACAAAATTTCTAAAACCAATTTCTTGATAACAGGCAAGTCACGTTAACATGCGTATTGCTACTACGAGAAGATGTGTCAAACTAAATTCTAAATGAACTTCGAGTTCAGGTAATGTGTATATCCACTACAGGAAATTATCTCACTACTAGGCTGCAGCACATACATACCAGCCATCAATAACGATTGTGCCATTATCGTTGACAGCAGTACGATTAGCAAACAGCAGCAGCTGCAATGCTGAGACCAGAGTCATCTGCTTGGCAGACACTGCCCGTGTGCGTATCTGAAAGGAACACAACGAAACGTGTGAAAAATACAAATAGAACTCACTCGCTAGATTACTGTCAAACCTGTGTATAAGGGTTACTTAATGCGAAGTGTCCTTTATAGACAAGTGTCTGTTCTATAGAGATGGTTTCACTGCATAACTGCATGACTCCCACTCAAGTGAAATGCCAAGTGTTCTTGCGTGAAATAAATTTCATTGCCTTACAGACAAGATAGGCAGGAGCTCAATTTAAAACAATTTCTAGGACCACACAATAACAACTTATTATCCAGAACATTACAGGCACATAGCCTATTTTACAGGACTTTCCAGACCTAGCAAATATCACTTTAAAATTTCAAGACTTTCCATTTTTCTCAGGACCTGCGCAAACGCTGTACCTTCTCTCCGAAGACGAAGTAAGGAGATGGGAACTCCTGCTCAAACTTGCTGTTGAGCAAACCTGAACACCTGAACAAACTTATGTTCACCGAGCCTTTGTGGATGAGTGCGGCCTTACATCCGGTCGTCAGGATCTTGCGCTTGCTCTTGTGGTAGCAGACGTTCGGGTAGAGTCCCATCGTCAACGCAGAGGCCACCTGCAGAGCAGCGAGACAACTAAAGAACAAGCACGACACGACTTCAGGCAAACAGCAAACAAACAGCCCCCAAACATACATAGAGCGGCCTATTTTTGCCTCAAGCTCTAGAAACCGAACCAGCAAACTATACCTTGCAATGCCTACCCAGGACCGCTGTCCAATGTTACACAGGTGTGCCACCTACACACGCAAGGTAAACTGGTAATGCGACAGTGGCGCCCTCACCATGTCGAGGCCGGCGTCGGGTCCGACGACGCTGAAGCCGAGCGGCATGAGGCACTGCTCAGGGAAGTCGGCGTTGCTGAGGATCTCGCGCAGCTGGTGGCGCGCCTCGTATGCCATGCGCAGGATCGACATGTTCAGCGCCTTCGCATTACAGTACGTCGACTCCACCTGTTCACCACCCTCCCTGAAACATACACACAGGCTGCGTAAACTGAAGGCAGAGGGCATTTTTTCCCCCTTTTACACAAATGAAAACATCAAATTTTCCAAGGACGTCTCGTTTGACAACGAGATTTCAGAAAGATTTTTGGGACATTGACCACAGACAAATCTAGGCCGTATCTAGCATTGCACATGCAATTCTTGCCAGCAGGAGGCATACCCAGCATTGCACATGATTCTCGCCAGCAGGGGGCATATCTATCATTGCACATGTGACTCGCACCAGCAAGGGGCGTGTATATAGCATTGCACATACGATTCTCATTAGCAGGGGGCGTATCTAGCATCGCATACGCGATTCTCGCTAACAGGGTAGCAACACTCACGTGACTCTCAACAACAGCGGGGCGGCATACCTGGCATCCTCCCAGCCGTAGAACGCGTTGAGCATGGCTATCTGGTCGCTGTGGCGCGAGCCGGCGAGGTAGCGGTGAGCTCCGACCACGCGGCCCGCCACCATCAGGAACGGGTCCTGGAAGGTGGACATCGTCGCGATAATGACGATGGGGTCGCCGATGCTGAAACACGCACAAGCCAACACGTGACATGTATAAATGTACCACAAAACATGCACAAGCCGACACGTGACATTGATAAATGTACCACAAAACGTGCACAAGCCGACACGCGATATTGATAAATGTACCACAAAACGTGCACAAGCCGACACGCGATATTGATAAATGTACCACAAAACGTGCACAAGCCGACACGTGGCATGGATACATGTGCCACGAAACCCGCCTATATGCCGATACATCACATGGATACATGTACAACGAAACACAACAATACCGACAGGTGATATAAATACACAGACCACGAAACACGACAACGCAGACACGCGATATGGACACACGCACCATATAAGGTCAAACCCAAATGTAGTAAAAACTGTGTTAGCCGTCACCTCTATGGGATGCAGACCTGTCTACCGAGGGCAATTTTGGCACTGTGCATGTGTGGGCCCTTCTATACATATGTTTAACTAGTCTACTCTTTCTTATATTTATTTTGTGATGAAAATTAAAAAAATTTACTCACAAGAATATGCAGCCGAGTATGATCATTTTCCCCAGCTGAGGCTCCAAAGGCATTCGTGCCAATATCTTACCCAGAGGTGTCAGTTCATTGTGCTTGTCTAGCGCTTTCATCTCTGTAAAAATACAGAATGACTCATCTCACTACTACCATCGTCTCACATTGAGAGAAACAAGATGCAAAATCTTTACCCGACTATGCCTTCAATGGGCTTGAACACTAAGTGGTAATATGGACAGAAATACTAATATAGGTGGACTGGTCAACTATTGTATAGGCCAGATAACACAGATGGAGGATCAGATTTTGCATTAACAAATGGTACGCAGTTTGTTGCATACTTGAATCCCATGCAACAAAGAGCATAGTAGCTCAGGCAATCAGTGGTGGGTGGTGCTAGTAAGTGACACTGGGCAGTAGGTGATGACATTAGGTGACACCAGGTTGTAGGCGGTGGATGGTGATAGTAAGTGACACTGGAAGTAGGTGATGACAATAGGTGACTCAAGGCTGTAGATGGTGGGTGGTGATAGTAAGTGACACTGGACAGTAGGTGATGGCGATAGGTGACACCAGGCTGTAGATGGTGGGTGGTGATAGTATCAATCCCGAGAGATGGATAGGTTAATCGCAAGGTTGTCTAGATGTGCCACTCACAACCCGTGCGTCGTGGTTTTACAAGTCCAACCGCTCAATGATAACTCTGCGAGTGAGGTCTCTTTAGAAGCACCACTTACGCCTGCCTGTCTATGCCAAAGTCAGCTGTTTGCAGCTTCGATAAATGCCGCACTACAGTGATGAGCTGTCGATCAAGGTCAGAGGGCGCCATTATGTAGTCCGGAGAGTTGCACGCCTTAATGATGCAGCCTTCGATGGCCGGCTGCAGAGCGATGATCTTTGCTGCCACCTGATGAGGCATTTTCAATCTAATCCTGAAGTGACAATAAACGCTCTAAAACAAGTTGGTATATCACCACAACAAAATTTCTAAAACCAATTTCTAGATAACAGGCAAGTCACGTTAACATGCGTATTGCTACTACGAGAAGATGTGTCAAACTAAATTCTAAATGAACTTCGAATTCAGGTAATGTGTATATCCACTACAGGAAATTATCTCACTACTAGGCTGCAGCACATACATACCAGCCATCAAGAACGATTGTGCCATTATCGTTGACAGCAGTACGATTAGCAAACAGCAGCAGCTGCAATGCTGAGACCAGAGTCATCTGCTTAGCAGACACTGCCCGTGTGCGTATCTGAAAGGAACACAACGAAACGTGTGAAAAATACAAATAGAACTCACTCGCTAGATTACTGTCAAACCTGTGTATAAGGGTTACTTAATGCGAAGTGTCCTTTATAGACAAGTGTCTGTTCTATAGAGATGGTTTCACTGCATAACTGCATGACTCCCACTCAAGTGAAATGCCAAGTGTTCTTGCGTGAAATAAATTTCATTGCCTTACAGACAAGATAGGCAGGAGCTCAATTTAAAACAATTTCTAGGACCACACAATAACAACTTATTATCCAGAGGACCAGAACATTACAGGCACATAGCCTATTTTACAGAACTTTCCAGACCTAGCAAATATCACTTTGAAATTTCAAGAATTTCCATTTTTCCCTAGACCTGCGCAAATGCTGTACCTTCTCTCCGAAGACGAAGTACGGAGATGGGAACTCCTGCTCAAACTTGCTCATGTTCACCGAGCCTTTGTGGATGAGTGCGGCCTTACATCCGGTCGTCAGGATCTTGCGCTTGCCCTTGTGGTAGCAGACGTTCGGGTAGAGTCCCATCGTCAATGCAGAGGCCACCTGCAGAGCAGCGAGACAACTAAAGAACAAGCACGACACGACTTCAGGCAAACAGCAAACAAACAGCCCCCAAACATACATAGAGCGGCCTATTTTTGCCTCAAGCTCTAGAAACCGAACCAGCAAACTATACCTTGCAATGCCTACCCAGGACCGCTGTCCAATGTTACACAGGTGTGCCACCTACACACGCAAGGCAAACTGGTAATGCAACAGTGGCGCCCTCACCATGTCGAGGCCGGCGTCGGGTCCGACGACGCTGAAGCCGAGCGGCATGAGGCACTGCTCAGGGAAGTCGGCGTTGCTGAGGATCTCGCGCAGCTGGTGGCGCGCCTCGTATGCCATGCGCAGGATCGACATGTTCAGCGCCTTCGCATTACAGTACGTCGACTCCACCTGTTCACCACCCTCCCTGAAAAACATACACACAGGCTGCGTAAACTGAAGGCAGAGGGCATTTTTTCCCCCTTTTACACAAATGAAAACATCAAATTTTCCAAGGACGTCTCGTTTGACAACGAGATTTCAGAAAGATTTTTGGGACATTGACCACAGACAAATCTAGGCCGTATCTAGCATTGCACATGCAATTCTTGCCAGCAGGAGGCATACCCAGCATTGCACATGATTCTCGCCAGCAGGGGGCATATCTATCATTGCACATGTGACTCGCACCAGCAAGGGGCGTGTATATAGCATTGCACATACGATTCTCATTAGCAGGGGGCGTATCTAGCATCGCATACGCGATTCTCGCTAACAGGGTAGCAACACTCACGTGACTTTCAACAACAGCGGGACGGCATACCTGGCATCCTCCCAGCCGTAGAACGCGTTGAGCATGGCTATCTGGTCGCTGTGGCGCGAGCCGGCGAGGTAGCGGTGAGCTCCGACCACGCGGCCCGCCACCATCAGGAACGGGTCCTGGAAGGTAGACATCGTCGCGATAATGACGATGGGGTCGCCGATGCTGAAACACGCACAAGCCAACACATGACACGTATAAATGTACCACAAAACATGCACAAGCCGACACGTGACATTGATAAATGTACCACAAAACGTGCACAAGCCGACACGTCAGAAGTCGGATCGGAAGGAAGGACGAACACGGAGAGTGACATTTGATCATGAAGCGTGAGATGCTAACGTCGTAAATTGACGATTGATCATAGAACCGGTGGGCTCACGTGTAATCGGAAAAAATCCAACATGGCGGAAGGGGGACTACGAAAGCCAGAACCCCTGAGTTTCGGAACAAATGCCGCGAAAAGTACCCGCGTGGGTGTGGTGATGGTGATATTTTGTATTAAATACATATATGACTGGGCCATATCCATCACCCAACCCGCCCTTGCCCCTAAAAGTTAAAAGACATATTGCAAGCGTAACAGAATTAGTATGTACAGTGTATCATTGGTATATGTTTTGCTATTTTATAAAACCACAAGATCATCATCCGCTGACCGCTGTGGATACGTGCGCCGGGCCTACAATGTGGCGCACGTATCCACTGCGGGCAGCGCTTCATACTTGAACATCTCCGCGGTCGCGTGCGCATATATCCCGCGAAACAGCGCGTCTAATCCGCGCGCAGCGAAACTGTGCAACGCAAACTTGTATCATTTCTCACTGGACGACGTGACGGGCGTGTGATTGGGCGCAGCCCGATGATTGGCACGCAGTGCCACGCTAACACAGGCATCGCCCCCCGCCCCTCATCGCCAAAGTTTACATCTATACCGCAGCGGCAGGGAATCGCTGATCTAACGTTCTGCCGCATCAATCTACACGCGAATTGTCTTAATCGATAGCTAGTGGCTCGTTAACAAAAATCACCTGCTATTTAGCACGCTGCCCACAAATCAACTTGATGCACAGACAGTATTCATTTTGCGAACGCAAACAGTTCGTCAGTTTCCTTATCGGGTGCCATGATGAAATGCCATCACTTTGCTCACACCATTGCTCCTTTCCTCAATCTGTGACACAGTTCTGCGAGTATTCAATTTCCATTGTCGGGTGCCATGTACAGTGTATATATGTTCCCATAGGTTAGATGAGAAAGTCTCGTATTCTTACAATGTTATGTGCAACTTCCCCTGCAATGGTGAGTTGCAGTAGGTGTACAATGGATATTTGTTCACCTAGGTGTAATTCATGTTCGTGCCATGTGCTTATAATCCATTTCAAGTGTTGTGTTTACTTTGCGAATAACTTTTTAACACCGTTTTTGTGCTCGTTTTAGTGGGGTTCTTGTATAGTACTGCAATGATGTCATTGCAACGCCCATATTGTGTGATATGCACACAGTGATAAGGTTCGGATCAAGATACTACAGTACATTATATTTCTTGTTGCGAACTATGTGGCAATATGCGTTTATGCTTTCGCCTTTCAATACATATGTATTCATTCTAATGATGCACATGATAATGCCTATATGCGGCTGTTAAACCCAAAATCTTACCACACCCTCCGTGCCCCACCTCACTGTAGGTCATACTGGATGGTGGTGGTTCCGTTATATGTGTGCAGCAAGTTCTGTATTCAAACATAAACTTCGGCTAAACTCTCTATATTTCTTCGCATACAACTAACATCATTCAGTTCGACATGAATTCATTCAAGTTCTGTTCTTAACATGTCATGTGCTCCTTTACCTGCAGCGCAATGGTGACTTGCAGTAGATATACAATTTGTATTTTTATGCTAGGTGCAATAATAGTTACTCCCCTTCGTTTATGATCACCTCCCACACTTCTCTTTACTTTGGCAATCATTTATAAGACCATTGCATTTATACCTTTTCTATAGTAGTGCAATGATCTCATTGCAGCTTCTGCAGCTGTCTGATATGCACACAGTCATAACGTTCAAATAAAGATACTGCAGTCGATTATATTTCTTAATCTAAAGTATTGCCCAATATGGGTTTATGCTTTTGCCTTTCAAGACATATCATATATGTCTAGACAGCAATTGCTGTATCATGACAGTATGTTGTGCACAATTCATTTTGCACAAAGTATGCCTATGAGTTATTCATCATGCACATGTTTGGCTGTACCAAAAACATCCGCCCCCCCCCCTTGTAGGTCATACTCGATAAGTCAATCTAATACGCTATAGGTCGAGGTGTCATCTACTTCAGATCCTATAGCTTCAGTTCGATTATATGTGTGCTGCAAGTTGTGTGTGCAAATGTCAACTTTATCTAAACTCTGCATATTTATTCGCTTAGAAATGATATTGTTTTATGGGCGTTTCATTTGCCATGGCGTTATTGAAGCCGTATTTTTAAAATGTCATCGGCTCCTTTACCTGAAATGGTGCCTTGTAGTAGGTCTACAATGTCTAGTTTTAGGCTACGTGCAAGAAAAGTTACTGGCGATCCATTTCAACTGTTGTGTTCACTTTGCGAATAACTTCTTAATACCGTTTTTCCCTCGTTTTAGTCGGGTTCTTGTATAGTAGTGCAAGGATGTCATTGCAACGCCCGTATTGTGTGATATGCGCACAGTTATAAGGTTGCGATCATGTCTGTCATGTTCAGTCATGTTACTGCCATGTGCTTATAATCCACTTCAACTGTTGTGTTCACTTTCCGAATAACTTTTTCATACCGTTTTTGTCCTCGTTTTAGTCGGGTTGTTGTATAGTAGTGCAATGATGTCATTGCAACGCCCGTATTGTGTGATATGCGCACAGTTATAAGGTTGCGATCATGTCCGCCATGTTCAGTCATGTTACTGCCATGTGCTTATAATCCATTGCAACTGTTGTGTTCACTTTGCGAATAACTTCTTAATACCGTTTTTGTCCTCGTTTTAGTCGGGTTGTTGTATAGTAGTGCAAGGATGTCATTGCAACGCCCGTATTGTGTGATATGCGCCCAGTGATAACGTTGCGATGAAGATACTGCAGTACATTATATTTCTTCCTGCGAACTATTTGCCAATATGCGTTTATGCTTTCGTCTTTCAATACATATGTATTCATTCCAATGATGCACATGATAAAGCCCATATGCGGCTGTTAAACCCAAAATCAACAACAAAATAACAACAAAATAATCGTATCTCTTTGTTGAGAATTTTATTTAACCACCTCTTTATTATGTTGGCTTGACGAACAGAGTCACTCTGCTCCGATGTTTTAATTAGATGGCCATATTCCATAAAAATGCATCAAAATGTAATGATAAGTATTATCTTCCAATGGTTTATAGTAATTTTAATCAATCTGGTCACTAGGTGACAGCACTTCCAATCCAATTACATAGCGTTAGAAAGGGAGTGTCACCTGTTATCATTCTAAGCTCTTTGGTAATACTCACATTCCTATTTCTATTTCTATTTCAACACATTCCTCTCACGTAATACATACAACGCCGATTTTCACCGACATTTGAAGAACTTGACTTATAACACTAACTAGAATGTTAACTCTACTAACTATACAAACTACATTCTACATTCTACGACACCCATATACATATAGATCACTTGAGATTTTATTCATATTATCGTGATGACATTATTCAATGTCAAATTATATTATGTTATATTATTATACTGCATTGTAATTATCAAAGTCCAGAGCCCAGGGTACTCAATCTCAAGTGGAGAGGTAATTATGGAATCGAAAAATATTGGTAATTATTTCATGCTGGAAATAAATATCTTACACGTCGGGATCTTTATGCTATTAGTATTGCAGATGGGGTCGTTGTCGTATCAGGTACTACAGATATGTACCCGAGGTAGTTTTAGGTTGTTTCGTATTATGTTTATATTTTTATATGAGGTATGTTTAGGGTTAGGGTTAGGGTTAGGGTTAGTGTTAGGGTTAGGGTACACTTCTGTAGTACAAGTCTGGTACACTTCGTGTATACATATATGTACCTCGGGTACATATCTGTAGTACCTGATACGACAACGACCCCTTGAGCATTAGTATTTATGTTGCTGCAAAGAAGGTTACCATATTTGCAAAATTCAAATAGAAAACCAAACCATTATTCATGAAATGATTTTAAAGGCGCTTGTGTATATTATGTATTAAATATGTTGTGTATTATTGTATATTGTACATATGATATATCTATACATTTCTACGTCATGTCAACGCTTGGAAAATATGATTTTGTTGTATCTGTGCGATTGAAACATTCGTTTATAATTTATAGTTCCAGTATGGAAAATCGTAGTTTTAACGGTAAATATGCCATTGTTAACCAAATAGTATATATGTGTCTATTTTGATTTAAACATTTTTTCACTGTGCATAAAAAACGTTTCTTTGTTTTGTCTTTTTTATTGCTGCAACGTCCTGCTTTCATAAAAGCCGTGAGACTGTGCATCTATGTGGGATTGTGCAGAAGAACTCCATAAAAATAGAATTCGGCTAAATATTCTTATGATAGAACGTAGTATCTCTGCTTGACACTGGACAGTAGGCTGCACCAGGAGGCAGCAGGTAGCACCATGGGGTGACACTGGACAGTAGGCTGCACCAGGAGGCAGCGGGTAGCACCAAGGGGTGACACTGGACAGTAGGTGCTCAGTAGGTGATAGAGAACACTAGGTGGCGCTGGCTGGCGCGTGGACGTACCTCGGAGCGTGCTCTCTGCGTCGGCGACGGCGTCTAGCGGCGGCGGCTCGATGGCTTTGGCGAGAAACTCGGGGATGGATCCGAGGTTAAGCAGCTTGATGCTGAGAGCCAGCTCGTGCAGCGGCGTGCGGAAGATCTCCGGCGTCGTGTGGTTGTCCAACCTATGCACCCAACAACAGGTTAGTGCTGATGAGAAGCGACGACACGGGGTCGCTCTCAGGTCACTATGTCATTCGCCAGGAAACACCAGTCATATCACCACATTACTACGATCAGCGCGTTGTGTCGGGAACCACTGATCTCGCACGAGAGAACATGCTCGTTCCCCACAACATCATTCGCCACGTTAAAGAATTGTCGACGCCATCCGAAACACTACGTAAGGTGCCATCAGTTACCAGCTGGAGTCAACACTGTTCGGGACCACCGGAACGCCAATTCGGTTAGGCCACCCTTAAAAAATTATATGTTTGCTGTCCTCCGACCGACCCACGAAAATAGCCGCAACCCAAGTTTTTTTTTACATTTTGGGTTCCATGTTTTTTTTTTTACATTTTTCATAGTTAAGACTGAAACACAAAGCATGTGTGGCAAACATGAGGACAGACTTAAAATAACTATTATGCCTCACAAAAAAAAAACCTACCCACTAAAAAAATCATGGGTCGGGGGACAGCAAACAGAATTTTTTAAGGATGGCCTTACAGCTGGTCGACGGACGAGGGCTGGTACTCACGCGTTGAAGCGCGCCCTGCTGCACAGGTGGAAGCAGAAGCCGGGTCGCACGCGGCCCGCGCGACCCCGTCGCTGCTCCAGGTTCGTCTTCGACGCCCACACCGTCGCGTAGTTCGTCATGTTGTTATGCACCGTGAACATCTTCATCTTCTGCCTGCAGTGACACAAGAAAACACGCTGGCTAACACAATTATTTTATTAATATATTTATTAATTTAAAGACGGGACATTGGTAACAGATATGTCAACGTGAGCCTGCAAGCTCCTCACTGTCAGACCCTCGACCCACCCTTTTTCCCCCACCTCTCCACTATGCAATTCTCGTGGTCTCGACTAGCCAAGATACATCTCTGAATATCGACATGAATAGCAGGTTACTGTATAAATTTTGAAACAGACACGAACAGAAGAGAACCCTATACATAATCCTAATCCCTATATCTTATCCCTAATTCACAACTGCATACACGGACTTTACACTACACTAAGTTGAACTAACTACACACAAGTTGAATACAGTACTGTGCAAATGTCACTCTAAACAAGAGACAAGATGAGGCATGAGACAAGATGAGATAAGAGGAGGCACTTACTTGCATGAGTCAATGACAAACACGACATCGTCGATGGTAATGCTGCTCTCTGCGATATTCGTGGACAGGATCAGCTACAAAAGCATAAACATGCACAGACGTGAAAGAGATACACGTGTCAATTGCACCCACCAATGATAATGCAGCAACTCAAATCAGGCATATTAAAACCAAACAGATCCCTACTAATAACCTCAAGCCCTATTCCTAATCCTAGCTGCTGTTACAGACACTGTATTTTGTTTACACTTGTATTTTTTCCACCTGCGAAGTTTAGCTTGAATCAGTCCCATATCCGCAATGGGAGTTTCATTGGACGTAAAGTCCTCAAACCCCTAGATAGGATTCATCACGTTCAAGCTGCAATGGCTAGGTGCGTGGCTAGGGATGGTCATATTAATCTGCAGGTACATATCACATCATATATATAGTCATAGTTATATTAACAAATCACAAGAGCATTGAATTAGGAACTGCTTGAGTAAAGCTGTAGATATTGACTGAATGTAGCAGGCAGTGACTGTGACCTAGAGGAGTGATGCAATGCGGGGCAATGAGACATGAGACATGATTCTGTGTGTGGTGTGATGATGCATGTCAGTCAGTAAGTGATGATAGAGGGGAGGTGAACGGACAAGCGAGTGGTAAGATAGCGGCATCGGCGTACCTTCGTGACGTTGGTCGGCACCTTCTCGAACTCACGATGATGCGATGTGATGCGGGGCAATGAGAGATGAGGCGTGGCTCTGTGTGTGGTGGGATGAGGCGAGTCAGTGAGTCATGTGAGTGGTAAGATAGCGGTGTCGGCGTACCTTCGTGACGTTCGGTGGCACCTTTTCGAACACACGATGCTGGTCCTCTCGCGGGATCTGTGAGTGCAGCGGCAGGATGAGGAAACTAGACGTGCCGAACACCGGGTGCTGCTGCAGGTGCTTCTGCAGCAGCGAGATCAGCGCCCATCCGGGTAGGAAGATCAGCACAGCCCCTGAAATGACAGCGAGACACCCTCACTAATCGCATCGGACACAGCCACACAACACCAAGGTTAGCAATGGATTGGGCTTCACAACTATTCTTACCATCAACTTGGACTGTTGAGAAAGGTGCCAGTAGTAAAACTGCATTGACTGCAGGGGGGGGGGGGGTCAAAATGAATATATTTCCACTTCTTCAGGACAAGCAGATCTGCTGCCAGTAAGTAACAATTCACTTTTCCGATGGAACAGAAAACATTTTTCATCACCTATTCACTCAGTATTTTGTCTCTACACTGTCTACCCTGTTGAAGGCACCCCTTGATGTTAGAAAGCAAGTAAACCCAAGGCTATAAATAGCTTTTGTGCATCAGGCTAATGATTTTAACCAGAAAACAAAACTTATACAGAAACTTTGATTTTGGCTGTCATTTTTCTGGAAAGAAAGTAGCAGTAATTTCTTACTTTTCTTATTGTGTTAATTTCTTATTGTGTGCTTGCACAATTGTACCTGAGACTTCAAGTCCACGAACGTAGGTCAGCAGGCCCTCGATGAGTTCGAATGACAGCTCTTTCTCTGACATCTGTGACATCGCAGCCTTCGTCTCGTTGTTGTAACCTTCGCCGATTATTATGTTCAAGTCTTCATTTTTCTGAAATAACAAAACATATTATCATTAGCAGTGCATAGCATAGGTGCCGTGAAAATGGTTTGTTATATGTAAAGAGAAGTCCACATGTGTGACACAGCCTAACAATTAACACCAACGACGGACACTACGGGGCACTCAACCACAACATTAGTGAGTGAACATACAGGCTAGCACTGCACACATTGTCCAGTACAATAATGACTTTTCTAGTAAAATCAAAGAAGTATTTCGAGCAGTAAAACATTGGGAGTATACTGCACGACGGTATCTCGTACCACATCGGGATCGGTGACCGCTGCCGTGGGAACGTCGTCATCATCGTAGTCATCGCGGGTCTTGCGCTTCTTTATCGATGGCGGCGGATTAAACTTCAACATCTGCACGCAGTCCTCCAGATAGTATTCTACAATGATCAAAATCTGCATCAACATGGGAGTGCACTGGAAATCGTAAGCTTGAGTGACGGCAGTTTTGGGTCAGTTCTATATCAACTAGGATAGCTTACCAGATCTTGAAGCCCTGGTGAAAGTTTTTTCCGTTTCTAAAACGTTTCATGTTTGATATGCCACAATACAAGAACACACACGCACGCACGCACACACGGACACACACACACAGGCACGCACGCAGGCACACACGCACGCACACACACACACACACACACACACACACACAGGCACCTTGCACGGGATGACTACGTCCATAGACCTCCATGATCGGACAATTCCCAAAGTACTCGGAGAACAGGGACGTATCGATGGTAGCCGACATCAGGATCACTCTCAGGTCTGCATACATCTTCGCCTGCAGAGATCGAATCCATCAGTCAGTAACTCAAAAAACTCTCGCTCTAAGCCAAACAAGGTACAGAGTACTGTGAAATACATTACCAGCTCATGAAAGGAATACCACAAAAATAACAACATCCTATGTCTTACATGAGGAACTGTGAGATACCATGAAGGAACACGACACTATACCACATACCATGTCTTGCATGAGGAAGTGGGAAATATCGTGAAGGAACACGATACACGCGCTCGCTCAGGCTCACTCATAACGGGTCAAAAAAATTAATTCGGATCTACGACAATCAAGACTCCTGTTAGACTCTTCTATTGACTCCTCCTATTGATAGACTCATGATATCATGAAGGAGCACGACATGATATGGCGTACCATGTCTTTCACGAGCACCATGAGGAAGTCTGTGTTGAGATCTCGCTCGTGAATCTCGTCGATGATGACGTGTGACACGCCGCGCAGTCCGTTCTCCAACTTACGCAGCAGCGTGCCTGCAAACACGCATCACACACACACACGCACGTGCCATTATCTCTTTTACAGAGAGAAAACTCTTACGAATACTAACCACATCTGAAGTGGCCATAAACGACTATAGTGAGTGATTATGCCTATAGCTACATGGCATCAAATAACAATCGCCTAGCATCTACATGAGGTAATGCAGTGGATAGACGCCTTGTAGACACTGTTAACCCCTTCATTTTACACATCTATGTATCATATTTGACATTACTGACATAATAGTAATGCACGACAGGGTGCAATACCATAACAAGTCATTGTCACACATGCACTGCTCCAACCTATTGTCATTATGACATACAACGTTCAAACATAAAACATGTCGATGTCAAACCTGAATGTAAGGGTCATTCAAAGGGTATGCATAAAGTGTCCATTAAAGACAGATGTCCATTATATAGAAAGGACCGTTAACACAGGTTTGAAAGTATAACTGCAGCAGCCTGGATCAGTCCCATATCCGCAGAGGGATGTCTCAGCAGGCTACCATGCCTTCAACCCCAAATAAAATCACATCATTTCCAAGCTGCTACATGTAGACTGTATGATGAAATGACAATCAGAGCAATGCAAGTGTAAGTGACATCACAACATGTAGTAGTAGTAGTAGCAGCAGCACTAGCAGCAGCAATAACAGTACTAGTAGCAGTAGCAGTAGCAGTAGCAAGAGTAGTACTAGTAGTAGCTAGTATACCTGCTGAGCATGCTCAGTACTATTTACCACTTAATTATTACCTGTTAGATTTAAAAAAATTTTAAGACTAAACATACGACCACTACCATTACCACTACTACTAGTAATACAACCACTACAACTACTTCCACTACAATTTCTACTGCCGCTGCTGCCACCGCCACCACCACTACTACTACTCATAAGACTACTACTATGCTACTTACTATGTACGTTGTATTACATCACATCATATACATCGTACAACAAATGATACAATATTCGACTGCAACCAAACGCACGTACCAACGGTGCAGAACATGATTCCGCCGTACGGCCGCGGGAAGGCCGTGTCAAACCTCACGCTGTAGCCGGCCGTGATGCCGACGTGCTCCGAGCGCTCGTCCGCCACGCGCTCGCACACCGTGATGGCGCTGATGCGGCGAGGCTGCGTCACGATGATGTTACAGTGCGCCCCCTGGTTGCTCTCGATGTACGCATCGAGGATGAACTGCGGAACCTGCGAAACAACATTGCGGCAATTACTATTTGCTTAGACGTGCAACTCGTATTTTGTTCTCAACGAGAAAGTTGTTTGTGCTGTGAGATGGTGAATAGGTTGGTATAATACAGTTGTTGAACTCGTTTCATGTCACATGAATGTTTGACACGTACACAGACACACACATTTTTCAATTTGTTCAACACACATACAATTTCTCCAGTGCGCGCGCGACAGTCCAGTAAACAACACATTATTTGTTCAGTGCGCGCACGACGGTAGGTTAAACGTTACAATACTTCTTTACTGTGCGCCTATCTAATACAAGCCTATAAGATTGCTAATTTGCTATACACCAGGGTATAGGTCAACCTATACCTTACTTTTGTAACGCAATGCATGCGCACACACAAACACGCGCGCGCGCGTAAGCACGCAACCACCCACATACGCACTCACACACACACACATTCCAACGCGCGCGCACTGCTACCCTCTTACGAATAACATCATAGCCACGCTGCTGTGTGCTTACTTTCATACAAGCCTCGTCCATAATGAACCTCGTCCATGATGTCGATTGGAAAGTGGTGGCGACGATTCCTGCCATTTCGCAAGACAGACTACAGCGCAAGATGTTCTTTCTTGGTGTAGCACTGGTCAGTGCACAGCATCTGACTGTGTGATCGTGCTGTCCGTCACACATATTGGCGCCGCAAGCTTCAATAACATTCAGACGACTCACAGCAATCTCAGCGTTTCTCACAAACAGACACTTCGTCGTCGCAGCCACGGCCCATCCACTAATGTAGGGCTGCGAGAGCACCCCCATGCACTGCTCATGCAGGGGCAACAGTGGTTGTTCGCTCGTGATTGCAGTCATGCCAGCGACCAGAAATTGGAATTCGGGTTCGAAAACACAAATAGTCATCCCGACCCAGGCGCAGTCTCGCATCAAAAACAGTTGTGCTGCTTTTACTTCGTCTCGACAGTAAACGTAGAACAATGTGCCTTCAGTGATATCTCTGAAATGCACATCACAGCAATTGCAATGTTAGGAATCATAGAAACGTGCTGATAGATTATGCGCTTTCTCAACGATACTCTCAACGTTTTAGTAAACATTTTACTCATTTCTTATTTCCAACGTTCCATAACGAACAAGGTAACACTATGTCCCACCTCTGCACATGATCAATTCTCCATAATATAACGCTACATATCAGGTGTCACAGCGTTTCGCTCTTGCGTAGACGTGGGCGTCTTATGATCCGACAACAGCCCAAAATACTTTTCACACCCCACTTTTCACCGCAGAGACTTTTCACCGCAGAAATTATTGCAACCCAACCAATTTTTCACTTACTCAACGACGTATAAATGACTATTTTGGTGTTATGACAACGCGAAATCATTTAACTTTACACTCGCTTTTACGCTAACATATAAATAAAATAATGTAACCCAACCCACAGGATAGGGGGTAACGACCCGTAGGGTAACCAGGGGTTATACTCCTACGGGTAACCACCCCTACGGTTATCTAGCGTTCCTATATACAAACAGTTGCGATATTACGAGTCGCAACAAATCCGCGACGTCATCGCTGTCATAATATTATTATGGTGCCAACCATTTCACTTCCATTTCTAGAAATCGACATACATATAAACACATGTGTTATCTATCATCTCTGTCATTCTTCACTTTATTCAAACGCGAGTGCTTTCATTCATTACAGCAAGTATATCTACTTGCGGTATGGCACCCCCGGTATGGTTAATTGTATCTGTGATTTCATTACATGTTTTCCGTTTCATACAGATATATCTCCTCTATAAATCGAACAATTCATTCATTCCATTCATTGGTCAATCCAGTTTCATCTTCATTACAACAATACCCGTGCCAAACGTTGAGACTATAGTTAACACTTGTTGCCTTAACGAATGTCGGTTTACATGTTCACTTCGCATCGGCTAAATTATACATCTCACTGAAACGACGCGTTACCTGCACAACACCAGACGGTCGTATGGTTGCTCTAGTTTTTGCACTTTTCCACCATACTCTCTTGTAGCCGCCTTCTTCTTGCCAGGCTGACTCTTCTTTATACGTAAGATGTGCGCAATAACTCTGGTGTTTTCTTGCACAAAATCCTCATCAACAACACTCACTCCAATGGTTTTGACGTCATCGGCATTTACAATTGCCGTCGCGGCGTCGATGCGCCTGTTTAAAATATAACGCGACAGCATTTCCACTGTACAGGTGCAATTTATACGCGGTGCGACTAAAACACCTCTTTCTCTGTCTAAGTCCGTCCGAATAATCAACGTGTGGAAATGAACCGCCAATCCATGTAACGCAGCCGTCTTCGATCCCGGTCACTCAACTTAATGGGCCCCACATGCTAGGTCCGTCGATATCGCATGCACTCGCACGACAACATCAGGTAACCATTACACAATACATCGGCTAGCAAAGTTCATCACCGTCGTCACAGCCGCGTCCGATCGCCGTTGCCAAGCCCATAGATGGCAATAGAAACGCCATAAGCGCGCACAGGTCGTGGCGGCGCGGCGTGAGAAACCGGTAACAGCGCCGTTTTCTTAAACTTTGTCATTTCTTGCGAGTTTCTCTGCCATTGTGTTGACGTTTGCCGGCGACCTTCTACATTTTCTGGTCGCTGTACGGTCGCCGATGGTCGCCGTCCACTCTGACGGGGGTATTACTGAAACGCAGCCGTGTATTTACACATGCTTCTCTCATCAGCCTTTCAATATACATGATTGCCAGATAACCCATTTTCATACACACAAACAAAGCATAACCATACACATTACTTCACGCCTTCGCGCCAGCAAGTCGCCTCACGGCTTCACCGCAGCTGTGACGAAGTCAGCAACTCACCTCAATACCATATCATTCCATGCGCTGCTACGCTACGGTAACCGTATCATCGGCGTGGCATTACACGCACACACTCACCAGTACAGACGCACATAGCTACGCACACGCAATCTATTCTACTATGCCTTCATTCTCAAAATATACCGTACATTCATCATTGCTACGATAACTCTGTAAGTGACCGTCCACAGGCACGCATGGTACGAAATGCCTACCTAACGTTCCTCACGTTAACTCATAAAGCCGTTTTACCCCGTGCGTACCCACATGATTATTAACTTCCACATAACCTAGCTACTACGAGCTGCATACCTTCCTCGCGTCACACCATTGTTTCATGCAATTGACTGATTGATTGATTGGCACGCAGTCCAATGGCTTATCCGTTATCTGCCGATTTCCCACACACATCGTCACCAGCGCAGTTCCAACGCGTTGCAGGTGTGTGGTGTGTGTGCGCGTGTGTATGTGTATCTCTGTGTGTATGTGTCTGTGCGTATGCGTCTGCGCGTGTGTGTGTGTGTGTGTGTGCGTGTGTGCGTGTGCGTGTGCCGGGCCGCGAAATTTTTGGCCCACGAGTTCCGGACCCCAATCACGCGCGCCCCCTATCAGCGCACTCCCATTCACTCGACTTCATTCTTATTTAGGATATGTCATGTATCATTTTCGATGAAGCCTCTATAGCTGACGAGGTAGAGCGCCGTCGTTACGTCTCAACGGTCTTTCGTTCGAATCCCGTATGATTTCCAATTATTTTCGTGTTTTCGGTATTTTTCGATCTTTATCCATTTAACTATTGTTTTCGAATTAACGCAAATATTGACATGATTTCTTTACAACAATTTCATTTAAAACATTTTCTTTCATTTCATTAAATTGATTAGTGTTCATTAAGTTTCATTACGGTTAGGGTTACGGTTCGGGTTAGGCTTAGGGTTAGGGTTAGGGTTAGGGTCCAGAACTCAAGCGGGACAAAACATTTCGCCGCCGGCCCTATACAATGTCGCCTCCTACGGGTTGGGTCCGTGCGTGTGGTGTGTGTTTCCTGTGTAATGTATCTGTAACGAAGAATTTGAATTATACGGTTGAAATGATAAAGCACGATCCAAACTTGTGTGGTACGGAATAAACTTTATTATATCTCTCACATAACAGAACAGCAAAGCACGCACAGCCCCCCTCCTCTTTTTCCTTGTTTCGTTTCCGGCCTATCACATATCTGTGTGCGTCTGCAGGTGTGTGTATGTGTGTGCGTCTCTCTGTGTGTGTGTGTGTGTGTGTGTGTGTGTGTGTGTG